CCTTATCCATGCTAGGACTGTCCGAGAGTCGCTCCAGTATGTTTTACTCGCTATTTCGTAGTCGTGCTCCTCCGCCACGGTATGTGTGAGGCGCGCACCCATTAACGCAGCTTGAAGTTCAAGTCTCGGGATTGAGACGGGCTTGAGCGGTGCGACGCGACTTTTAGCGGCGGCCAAGGTGACATGTGTGGTACCGTCGGCTCTTTGTGACAGCCAGTACACTGCCGCGGCGTACGCCTCTTCACTGGCATCCACGAAGGTATGCAGATGATGGGTGACCACTGGTGTGACATCATAGCATCGTGGTATGCGTATCTTGTGTACAGTTCGCAATGATGTCAACCAAGTACTCCATGCTGGCTGCAGTTCTTCTGGTAGCGATTCGTCCCAGCCTGTTTTATAGCGCCATGTATCTTGCAGTAATCTTTTCGCTGGCGTTGTGATGGGTGATATGAGGCCAAGGGGGTCGAAGAGTGCCATGATGATGCTGAGCGCTTCTCTTTTCGTTGGTATCCGTTTGTTTTCTAATATATCTTGCGGCGTTTTTATTTTGTTAACTTGAAATCCAATTATGTCTTCATTTATATCCCATAACAAGCCGAGAGCTCGCTCAGTATCGCTCCCGCCAATCAGAACCGCTGTACTATTTGTCCCGCTCTCTGAAGTGTTGTCTCGCTCGCTTGCTATAAACTCGTCGATAGTATTGCGATTGTTTGATGCCCATCCGCTGAGTACGAAGCCGGTTTGTTTATGTATATAATCGACTTCTCTTGTTATTTTTCTGGCTTCTGAGATTGATGAGAAGCTTTGTAGATAGTCGTCCATATAATGATTTCTTCGTATAGCGATTGCAGCGTCGGGATATATATGCGCGTAGTCTTCTGCGTTGCGGTTTTTTATATACAGAGCTGTGCAGGGTGATGACGTCGCTCCGAATATTAATGACGTCATGCGGTACTCGTCTGGGTCGCCCTCCCGCCGGTCACCTCTCCACAGGAAACGGAGCGCGTCGCGGTCTTCCTTCTTAATTTTTACTTGCATAAACATCTCTTTGATATCAGCAGAGACTCCGTAGGCGTACTGTCTGAACCTCATCACCACCCCAGGCAGTGATTGCAACAGGTCAGGTCCAGAAAGCAGCAGGTCGTTTAGGCTGAGACCTGCAGTCTTAGCGGAGGCGTCATGCACCAGTCGCGGCGGCTTGTGTGGCTTCGCTGGGTTCGCAACCGGGAAGTGTGGCAGGTACCATGTTCTGTCTTCAGCTGGCGGTGTCTTGGCGTGCTCTGCATACCCCGACGTGAGTAGGTTATTGATTCGTTCGTTGTATTTAATTTTCAGGTCTTCATCTCTGTCTAATCTCTTTTCGAGGTTATGCAGGCGTTTTCTTGCTTCGGTGTAATTGTTCGGTATTTTCATGCTGTCTTCTCGCCAGAGTAGCCCAGTTTCATATCTTCCATTCGGAAGACGGCGACTTTCTCGTTCTAGTATTTTCAAAGCTCGCTGCTCTGGATCATTTTTTGGTTTTCTGGGTTCGATGCATAGTGACTCCAGCTTGAAGTAATTTTTCATCATTTCTTCTATGTTGACGTCATCTTTCTTCTCCACCAGGTGCCCGCAGAAAGTCACCGGGTTGCTGAGAGACGTCTTGCAACCATGCAGAACCCAACCTAGTAGCGTGTAGGATGCTACCGGTTGGTCACGACGTCCCGCCCGTACATCTCTTGACACGATGAGATCCCAGTTATCTTGTCCTATTAATAACTTGGGGGAGGCACGGTGGTAGACGAGTTCTTCTTGTATTTCTTTCAGGTGACCACACTCCTTTATGTCGCTGTCGACGACCGACTGGGTAGTGATATCCAGTCGATCCACTGTGCGGACTTGATCTAGCTTGAAGATGGTTGAAGAGTGTTTGCCCTTGATTTTCACGCTGGTTGTCTTGCTGTGTTCATGCTTGACCATGGCGCCGACGCCCTGTATCCACATCGTGTTTGCCGGACCATCAATACCCAGGATGTCAGCCACCGATGTATCGATGAGTGTCACTGTGCTGCCTTCGTCGAGAAGAGCGTATGTTTCTATCTTGCTCTTCGGCCCTTGCAATATGACAGGTACTATTTTCAGATAGGCGCGACGTCGGAGACATTCTTCATTGCCTTCCATCGTAGAAGTTACCACCCCATGCTCTTCTGGTGGTTGTTGAAGCTGGTCCTCTTCTTTTCTGTCATGATGCAACAAGTGATGGTGTTTCATGTGGCATCCAGATTTGCCACACCATGGAGCTCTGCAGACGGCGCGTCGATGTTTACTTCTCAGGCACTTGTAGCATATGTTATTCTTCTTTGCAGTTTCCCATCTTGAATTAACGTCGATGTTATTGAATTGCTCGCAGTCAGGCAGCTGATGGTTGCGTTTGCACAGCGGACATACATTTTCATTGTTTTGCTTCATATTAGTAGCAAATGAATGTTCGATCTTCCGTCTCGCTCTCTCCCTTGTTGCCGTCTCGCTCTCAACGAGACGTTCCGGCGCGGCGTACGCTGCACATTTGTCTGCCTCTTCGTTTAGGAAGACAGACATTTTCTTCAATTCCGGGATGTCTTCCTTTTTCAGCGCGTAGTCGTACCATTTATTTTTTATTATAGGTGTGAGCTTCTCTATGATGAGACGTGTCATTTCTGGGCTGTGTAGATATTGTGTTTTCTTCAGTGCTTCAATCGTAGCGACTGTGTTCGCTATTTTGCCGGCGAACACGCAGAGATCCCGTGGGTTATCGGTGATCTTGCTCAGTGACTTGATTCTATCCATCTCGATGAGTATGAGTGCTTCTGGTCTTCCGAATCTTCTTTCCAGTGCTTCTATGATGACATTTGGTTCATGTTGACTCAGGAGTAGGCTGCTCACGGCGTCTAGTGCTGGTCCCTTTATACATTTTCGCAGGCGTGCTACGTTTTCTATCTTCGAGAAGTATTGCTGTGTATCTTCGTAGCTTGCCTTGAATGATAACCATTCATAAGAGAGGCCCCTGAACATAGGCAACTCTTGTATATATGCAGGCGGCTCCCTTGGTCGTCTTCTTGATGCTTGCAGTAGTGCTGTCGTTAATGTCGAAACGTCGATGGTTTGCTGCGGTTGCTTGAATTTCCTCTCCGCGGCTGCCTCATCTTGTTTCTCCTCCCGTGGCATAGGAACTTCTTTTTCGCGTGGCTGTTGATCAAACCACGCATCCACCCACGTGGAGTCTTCATTTTCTTCTTCAGAATATTCTTCCTCGGAGTCTTTTTCTGCCCGTAAACGTTGTAATCGCGCTATCTCCATATCTGCCTCTGCTTGCAGCTGTTTGATTTTTAACTTGGCCAGTCGTTCTTTAATCTCCAATTCTTCCAGTTTTTTCCTTGAGACCGTGGAACGGTGTGACCTCGCCTTCACTGTTTTCTGGGAGGTGTCTTCTCTATTCGGTGAGTCCTCCACTTGACTTGACTGCATAGAGGATTCGGCGCTTGTTTCGTTTTCGGTGGATTCATGCGAGTTTTTCGTTTTAGTGCCTTCTTCATTCATGCTTCGCGTCACGACCATCTTGATTTTCTTCCTGGTGCAGGGATCCGGCTTCTCGAAGGACCACAATGATGTTGACAGGACTATGTACTAGGATCCCCTGGTCGTATGGTCGGGCGGCGAAATAAAAATGCTCGGTTGTTATCTTGTACTTAGTAGGAAGGCACCTATCGGGTCGCTGTCTCGCCGGTGAATGCGGACCGCTGCGCGGCCGCGCTCTTTATATAGACGCCCGACGGGTGGCCTTCCCTACTGCAACTGTACGTTGCGTGATTTATTTTTATTAACAAAAATGATCTTACAAATTTTGCTTATACTAATTATATCTAATTGATTCCGTCGTGTACAGAGCTGATCTGCACGACTTCATCTGCATCACTGCATTCTTGATGTATCATTATATTTCGGCCAATTTACATATTTTTATAAATTACTAGCTGTCCCGGCAAACGTTGTTTTGCCTTAAAATAAAATAAAAAATAGGGGTGGACTACCCCTAACATTTAGAGGGATGAAAAATAGATGTTGGCCGATTCTCAGACTTCTCATGATATTTTGTGAGCGTATTGAGTAAATACGCTCACAAAATATCATTAGAATCGGTCAAGCTGTTTCGGAGGAGTATGGGAACGAAAACTGTGACACGAGAATTTTATATATAAGATAACGTATGTGTTTTTCTGATGTATAAGCTATGTTACTGTAAAGTTTCATCTGATTCCGTTCAATAGTTTTTGCGTGAAAGAGTAACAAACATGCAACCATACTCACAAACCATAGCGTTTAAAATATTAATAAAAACTAAGATATTTATTTATTTATTTATTCTTTTGCACATAAAATTGTAAACGTGGCGGACTTAATGCCTGATAACATTCTTTACCAGTCAATCGTCACGTTGATCAAAAAGATATTTCGATTCATGTTTGTAACGGATATTCTCGATATTGGCTGTATTTTTAAGTAACTTTACATGTAGAAAACTATGTTGCAGCGTGTGATGACGCTGCATTTAATTCCACGGCCTCGGTGGTCTAGCGGTTTACCACAAGACCTTACTTCCGATGCGGGTTCGATTCCTCACACGGTACAAACATTATATTCATGAGTATGATTGTTTGTATCCGTCTGGGTGTTTTCTATGTACATTATGTATGTATTTGCAAAAAAATATTTATAGGTATTTGTATCAGTTGTTCAGTAGCTATGACACAAGCTCTGCTTATCTTGGAAGTATGTGGGACTGTGTGAATTATCCAGGATTATTAAAATAATTTTAAAAATATAGGGTAATGTCAGAAAATTCTTGTTATCATAAAAAGTTGCTTGGCCGCTGAAATAGGCGAGACAGACGTAATCACGCAAATAACTTTGTATTTATCTTTGTAATGATGAAAGGAAGCGGTTCAAAAGCATATGCCATAATGAGAGAACACATGTTGCAGGTGTTCCTGAAACCGGAGGAGAAGTATGAACACCTGCAGACGTACATCTGCGAGCAGACGAGTGTGGTCGCAGAGTCCCAAATACTGCTCTACAAGGATACGCTGCTCATGTCAGAGATTGATGACAATACACTTGGTATGTAGACATCAATACATATGTAGCTGATTTATGCTATGCGTCTGTAATTGGTGATTAAGAATTTATCTATCATATAGATTTTTTTATTATCTATGGCTCCACCATATCCAAGTTTGTTACTTCTTCTTGTGATGAGTCTGCGTTCCGAATGAGTTGTAACAATTTTAGCATGAAGTGTGTTAATAATAAAAAATATGGGGCCCAGTACTGAACCTTGGGGCACACCTCTTCGTATTTCGATGATATTGCTTGTATTATAATCTGTAGCTGCGGTATTTTTAATAGTCAGTAATTGTTGAAAATCGAAAACAAAGGAAACGCAAACATTGAATATGTCACAAAAATATATAATACTCTATTAGCTGCATCCAACGCTGCATAATGCAACGTAGGGTTAAAACATAGCGAATTTAATATAGAACCTGAAAGTGCTTAATAACACGATAATTATGTGCATACAGTGAACTTTGTAGAAAATCTTCTACCAATAAAAAATAGAATAGAATAGAATAGAAAATCATTTATTCAAATAAACTTACATTGAAGCACTTTTGAATAGTCATTACATTTTTTAATCTACCGCTCGTTCGGAAAGCTGTCTCATCACAAGAAGAACGAGCAAGAAACTTGCGTGTTGCTCTTTTAAATAATTTTATTATTACTTTACATTTTTAAGTTTAAGTGTGTGAATACAAACCACCAATTAGCACTAATTCTATTAAATACTCAAATAGAAAAAATATTGAATATATAACCAACTGGTTAAACAATTAATAAGAGGAAATCAGTCATAGTGATTAGAGCAGACCAGTCCCTACAAGCAGCACCCGTTCACGAGTATGACGGATGAGCCAGCCATCACTGCGCTCGACCATATTTTAGGGAGCCCAATGACCCGGCCCACCACGCCGCCACAAGTCTGGACATTTTAGTGAGCATGACTATTAGTACTACTAGACTAAAGTTATTAGTATTTTTGATTAGGAACAATATAATGTTGTCGCAGGTAAAAACTACCCGGAGACGACGGCGGAGGAGCCGCTGTTGCTGTTTAATAAAAACAACAATAACGTGAGCATGGCGCCGGAGCCCGAGGTGCCCAAGTTTCCCGTGTTCCCCAACATCGTGTCCGTTGAGAACGACGCCAGTCAAGCCAAGGTATATAGAGTTAGATACAGTACTTACGTTGTATTCATTAGATATGTTATTAATTTGTTTTAAGGGTAAAGACTGTGATAAAATCAAACTTGTGACCTCTTCTTCTTCTTCAACAACAATTGTATTTTGAAATTACATAGGTGTGGAGTATCCACCCTTTTGATTGGTGATGAAACTTGTTGCTTGATGAGCGACGCTTCTTAGTTCTTAACAGGTTGATAGTGTGATGTCGTCATCAACGCGTTTGACGTCAACCAGTAGTTGTTGAGGATGGCCCCTGTGTTATTGGTAGTTATTATTGCTTATGTGTTCGCGGAAATCTAGTTTTTGTCTAGTATCACTCCCAATTTATGCAGATGAGATACTTCTTTAAGCTGAACGTTATTAATGTTATAAAAAGCGTCTATTGGTGTCCTTTTTCGCGAAAATTTGACGTGTGTACATTTAGATACATTGAGAACCATATCTGCGAGCACACCAATTAGAGATATCATTAATATCGTTTTGTAGGCATTTGATATCGTCCATCGATTTGATGACTTTATAGAGTTTACAATATTCAGCGTAAAGTTTATATTGTGACGTAATGTCTAATGAAATTAAGATGGAATGCCTGAAGGCACTACTCTCGATTTGGATTTAAATCCGAGTAGCATAACGAGTTACGAACGGGTTCTTAGGTAGGAATCGTACCACATTAACAAAGATCCACGGAACGATCTAATTTATTAATGAGTATATCGTGGTTCACAACTTCATAAGCTTTGCTAAAATCAGTGTATATCGCATGTATCTCACACCTACTTGTTTGCAAATTATCAATAATATGTTGCGGTTGATAAGATTTCCTCGAGGCATGCTGATTCGAACGATACGGACACGAGCGTAATCGTCGGACAAAAATATTTAACTGTAGTGGAGTCGGCAACGATTGGAGTGCTAGCGTAGTCGCACGTGCTGCGAGAGAGGATTTCTGCGTTTTGTGAGAGGACGTAGACGGTTGTATGTATAAGAGTGTACTTTATACGGGTGCGTTCTTATACGGGTACGTGGACGATATAAAGTACGTTTTTATACGGGTACGTCGGCGTGCGGCGGGTGAGTTGTGGTTATATAGTTGTGGTGCTTTCGCCCAGAGATGGGAAAACTATTCCATATGCGGCTGGATCTGTGCTTTGTATAATTGTAAGTGATGGGCCGCTGTAAAATACTGTCTCACTCTACTGAGCACACGTAACTTTTTTAGGCTATTTTAGACTTGTCCTCCAAATGATCGTAAAACTGAACGTCTCTAGATATATCAACGCCAAGGACCTCGAATCCTCGATATTTGGTTTCACATCAGGAGAGTCTCTCGAAATTGAAGAGACACGATAAATGCATTCGATAAAGGTCGTCGGCGGTCGCACGTTTAGGAGCGTGCTTCGTATGAGTGCGTTCTTACACGGGTACGTCGGCGGGCGGGCGAGTCGCGGATTTAGAGGCGCGTGTGGTGCGCAGACGGCGTGCAGCGTGGGGCACGCGATCCGGCGGCGCGTGGAGGCGCTGTGCGCGGCGTCGGCGCTGATGGGCGGCACCGTGCGGCGCTGGGGCGCGCTGCTGGCCGGCCGCCTGCAGCGCACCGCCGCCCGCGCCGCCGCCGCCGCCGCGCACGCCGACCGCCTGCACGACGCGGCGCGCGCGCTGCGGCTGGCCGGCGCGCCGCCCGCGCCCGCCGCCGCCGCCGCCGCGCTCGCGGCCGACGCGGCCGCGCTGCGGGCCGCCGCCGCCGGGCTGACGGCGCGCCACGCCGCCGGCGCCGCGCCCGCCGCCGAGTGGCGCGCGGCGGCGGCGGCGGCGCCCTGCCCGGCCGCGCTGCGCCTGCACGCGCGCGCGCGCACGCTGGCCGACCGCCTGCGCGACTCCTGGCAGCACCTGGTGCGCGACCGCGCCACGCGCTCCCTCACCTACAACGACGAGCAGTTCCACGTGCTCGAGCGCATCACCGTCGCGGAGACGGGACGACGCGCGCGCGCCCTGCTGCACCGCGCCGCGCCACTCGCACGCGCACGCGCTGACGCCATCGCAGACTGGTAACTTACACACGCACACACACACACATACAAATTTCATGTCCAATATCTATTACACACATGCATAATATATTATGCTGTGCAATATAATGTTACATTGTTCCCTGGTACCCAAACTAAATAGAAATATGTATTTTAAGTACCAATGTCTTACTCATACAATTTAAAATTACCAAAATTATGATTAATCGAAAACGTCATCATCATCATCATCGCAGCCCGGAAGACGTCCACTGCTGGACATAGGCCTCCCCCAAAGATCTCCACGACGATCGGTCCTGCGCTGCTCGCATCCAATGCCTTCCCAATCGAAAACGTAACAAAAAGAAAATCAAAATGGATATAACATAAAATTTAAACCTAACAGATTATCAGTTACTTCTAGTGTACGTGTGTGTTGTATATATGATGATTATATACAATCGATTCGCTTACAGGTACAAGGTGGCTCAAACAGTCTACTTACAAACTCAGATCTTAGACAAGGACATCGCCAGCGCTGAAATGAAGCTAGTCGCGTTGACGGCTCGCCTGCAGGACGCCGAGCAAGTCATCCGGTCCAGTAAGGTATACGAAACTGCTCTGTACTTATACTTACTCAATGATGAGTGATGCGCCGGGTTGCGTATAGATTTTCAAGTAAGTAACATGTTGCAATGTCAGCAGACGGAGGGGGGCGCGCGAGCGGAGGAGGCGGGGCCCGCGGCGGGCGCGGCGGGGTGCCGGCGGTGCGGGGGCGGGGGCGGGGGCGGGGCGGCGGCGGGGGTGGGGGCGGGCGGCGCGGGGGTGCGCGCGCTGCTGGCCGCGCAGGACGAAGTGGCGACGGCGGTGGCCGCCAACTCCGCGCTGGTGGCGCGCCTCGCGGCCTCCGTGCGCGACGTGCAGCTCTAGCGCCTAGTACTAGTCGCTCATACCCACACTACAGTATGATACGAGCCATCAGTACCGACCGTACACTGTGATACTAGTCGCTAGTACCGACAGTACAGTGTTAGTAGTCGTCAGTACCGATAATACACTGTGTTAGTAGTCGCCAGTACCGACAATACAGTGTTAGTAGTCGTCAGTACCGATAATACACTGTGTTAGTAGTCGTCAGTACCGATAATACACTGTGTTAGTAGTCGCCAGTACCGACAATACAGTGTTAGTAAAATTCAAAAATTCAAAATTCAAAAATCATTTATTCATGTAGGACATTTTAGCCGCTTATGAACGTCAAATTTTTACATTATAATTTTATTTTTTTCCCTACCGTCCAGTTCGGTATATAGATCCAATTGAGAAGAACTGGCAAGAAACTCAATTGAATTACTTTTTTTTTTTTAAAGCCAGTTTATTTACAATGTATATTTATATAGGTGTCTATGTCTAACATTAAATGAAAATTCAGTGCATGAACAACTATTGCCATGCACACTCGTCATTCAAGTAATCGTTTAGTGAGTAATAGGCTTTGCTCAGTAAATATGATTTAACAGATGTTTTGAATTTATTTAAGGGTAATTCCAACATATCCTTTGGTATCTTATTGTAAATTTTTATACCTATTCCCATAAAAGACCTATTAACTTTTTCTAAACGATACTTGGGGACAGCAAGTTTGTCTTTAAATCTAGTATTAATATTATGAATATTGCTGTTTTTTGGAAATAAGTCAAGATTTTTATGAACATATAGGATATTTGAATATATAAATTGAGAAGCAACGGTGAGAATATTTGCTTCTTTGAATTTCTCTCTTAATGAGTCACGACTCTTCATACAGTAGATCGCTCGAACGGCACGTTTTTGTAATATGAATATATTTTTAATATCTGCCGCTTTTCCCCATAGTAATATTCCATAAGAGAGTAAACTATGAAAATAACTAAAATAGACTAATCTAGCAGTATCAGTATCAGTGTACTGTCTAACCTTACGCACGGCAAAAGCTGCTGAACTTAGTTTCGCTGCAAGGCTTTGAATTTGTGCACCCCATTGTGTTTTATTATCTAGTGTGATTCCTAGAAAGACAGTAGATTCTATAAATTCGAGAGATTCGTCATTTAATTTAATATTGCAATTGGTATTAAAACTTTTAGACAGAGAGAAATTAACACATTTTGTTTTTTTAGCGTTTAACATAAGATTGTTAGTTGTAAACCAGTGCAGGAGACGCCGCAAAGCACTATTTACATCGTCATAATTATTAGTCATTCTATTAACTTTAAAAATCAATGAAGTATCGTCTGCAAATAATACTATGCCGCATCTATCCTGCATGGCATATGGGAGATCATTAATGTAAACTAGGAATAAAAATGGACCGAGAATAGATCCTTGAGGTACACCCATTTGCACAAGTGACCCGTCAGACGTAGCGTTGCTAACCTTCACTTTCTGTATTCTATCAGATAGATAAGATTTTATTAAATTTAAAGCATTGTCTTTGACGCCATAAAAAGCAAGTTTTTTTAGCAAGGTATTATGATCAACGCAATCAAAAGCCTTAGAAAGGTCACAAAAAACACCTATCGCATCCATTTTAGTTTCCCATGCAGCAAATACGTGTCTAAGCAACTCTGCACCTGCGTCTGTAGTTGAACGACCTTTGGAAAAACCGAATTGACTATTGTGGATTAAATTATTTAAATTGAAATAACTGACAAGTTGCATAAGGATTATTTTTTCAAAAATTTTACTGAGTGCTGGGAGTATAGATATAGGTCTATAATTTATTGGGTCACTCCTATCTCCAGATTTAAAAAGCGGTATGATTTTACTAATTTTCATTATGTTAGGAAATTTACCTTCATCTATACATTTATTGAAAATAAAAGCAAGAGAGGGCGCAATAATTTCCATTATACTATCCAGTATTTTAACAGATATACCCCATAGATCCTCTGTTTTTTTATTATTAAGCTGTTTGAATATTTTCATTATTTCTACTGATGATGTATGTCTAAAGATAAATACAGCTGATGACTTGCTAACATTGTCTGTTAGTAAAGTTTCAGCAGCAGACGGGGAAGATTTTAGAGCCTGTGTCGTAATTAATGGAATATTAGTAAAATAAGATTCGAATGTATGCGCGACCTCTGTGTCGGAATTTACCAATTTGTTATTAATATTTAAAGCTATTTTGCTATTTTGAAAATTAACTTTTCCAGTTTCGCTATTTATTACTTTCCAAGTGGCTTTTATTTTATCTTTAGATTTAGTTATTATTTTACCTAAATAGAGAGACTTAGCTGTATGACAAACCTTTTTAAATATTTTCGAATAAGATTTTACATGTTCATGAAATAAGGGATCGGATATATAGCTTCGTTTTTCGTAAAGTTCGTAAAGATTAGCCCTAGACTTATAAATACCAAACGTGGCCCAGTCACAAAACTTTGATTTTACACTAGTTGAAAATGTTTTTGTTTTAAATTCACTGCTAGCTTCATGTTCAATTAAATTAAAAATATGTTCACATACAATGTCCGGGTCATATTGAGGTACTATGACACTAGATATTTTATGTTCAATTTTATTTTTAAAACGTGCCAAATTCTTTTGTGTTATTTGTCTGCATGTAATTGTTTGAGTCCCTTTGGATCCCTTAGTTTCAATTATAACTTTTTGTCCGTAATGATCAGATCCAAGACAGTCGAAATTCATTTTCACCTTTACTTCACAATTACAAAAAACATTATCTATACAAGTGGCAGAATTTCCTGCGACCCTAGTGGGTTCTAAAAAAAGATTGTGCAAATTAAATGATTTAAATAAGTTAATCAATCTTAAGCTTATTGAGCATTCCGATAATAAATCAACATTAAAATCGCCACATACAAATAATGTTTTATTCCTCCGTGCGACTCGTCTCAATGCTTCCTCCATAGCCAGTTCAAAAGAATCAAAACAAGCCGATGGCGGACGATAAACGCAAATTATTATACAAGTAACTAATTCTACGCAAGATAGTTCAATTGTTTGCTCAATAGAAATATTTACAATGTCTTGACGGTTTTTATATTCTACATCATTTTTTAAAATAATAATTGACCCGCCATGAATGGCATTGTTCCTAGTAGCAGTTGTAGTCGCCAGTACCGACAATACAGTGTTAGTAGTCGTCAGTACCGATAATACACTGTGTTAGTAGTCGTCAGTACCGATAATACACTGTGTTAGTAGTCGGCAGTACCGACAATACAGTGTTAGTAGTCGCCAGTACCGACAATACAGTGTTAGTAGTCGCCAGTACCGACAATACAGTGTTAGTAGTCGCCAGTACCGATAATACACTGTGTTAGTAGTCGCCAGTACCGATAATACACTGTGTTAGTAGTCGCCAGTACCGACAATACAGTGTTAGTAGTCGTCAGTACCGATAATACACTGTGTTAGTAGTCGTCAGTACCGATAATACACTGTGTTAGTAGTCGCCAGTACCGACAATACAGTGTTAGTAGTCGTCAGTACCGATAATACACTGTGTTAGTAGTCGCCAGTACCGACAATACAGTGTTAGTAGTCGCCAGTACCGACAATACAGTGTTAGTAGTCGCCAGTACCGATAATACACTGTGTTAGTAGTCGCCAGTACCGACAATACAGTTATAGTAGTCGCCAGTACCGACAATACAGTGTTAGTAGTCGCCAGTACCGACAATACAGTGTTAGTAGTCGTCAGTACCGATAATACACTGTGTTAGTAGTCGCCAGTACCGACAATACAGTGTTAGTAGTCGCCAGTACCGACAATACAGTGTTAGTAGTCGCCAGTACCGACAATACAGTGTTAGTAGTCGCCAGTACCGACAATACAGTGTTAGTAGTCGCCAGTACCGATAATACACTGTGTTAGTAGTCACCAGTAACGAAAATACACTATTATAATACATTTACCAACATATTTATTGATATATTTTGTCAAGGATTTTTATTTAAATATATACATTTCGACCGTAAGTTCTAATTGAGTAAGCACAAGTATTGTCAATTGCTCACATCGTGATAAATGAAACTAGACTTCTCCATATTTCCCAGAACATATTTTGAATAAAACGTGGCAAATGACAGCTCTGCCTAACTCAATACTTACCAGTGTTTCCATTACCAAAAATTTTAAATATAAATTAAAACATTAACAGATTGGAAGTCACTTATCCACCAAGCCAAGAAATACCGTGCTACCTCTTTTATGAAATGCAAGATGTATTTATAGCGGCCAAAATGAAAACCAAAATTAAGATTTTCTTCACTGACTACGCATTATTCTCTTCAAATCTGTACCATTTCGTAATATTAATTGCAATGGTGTCACAGATAAGTTACAGAATAATTTCATAAGCACTGAAATTGTAAACACCAATTTCATTGTAAAGAATAAATAAATAAATCAATCAATTCACATTTCTAATCACTACGACTGATTTCTTCTCATTTAGTTGTTTAACCAGTTGGTTGTATATTTAATATTTTTTCTATTTGAGTATTTAATTGAATTAGTGCTAATTGGTAGTTTGTATTCACACACTTCAACTTAAAAATGTAAAGTAATAATAAAATTATTTAAAAGAGCAACACGCAAGTTTCTCGCTCGTTCTTCTTGTGATGAGACAGCTTTCCGAATGAGCGGTAGATTAAAAAAAATGTGATGACTATTCAAAAGTGCGTCAACGTAAATTTATTTGAATAAATGATTTTCTATTCTATTCTATTTAAAAATATATTTTTAATAATTAAATAAATTCGGAGATATTTACAAAATTAAATAGAATTAGTTTCACATAGTTATATCAATGTATGTACGTGTAACACCACCTTTAACAGAGTAGGTCATATCAAAATGTACTTGTAACACTACATTTAGATGTTAGTATAAGGGGCCATCCACATGGACTGTGTGAAAG